ATTTGAGTTTTTTTTCTTTTATTTTTTAAAAAATAATTTTTATTTATCTCTTAATCAACTAAGTAATATTAAAATAATAGTAGAAATATGGATTGACTTTAATTTTTTAAAATTAAAATTTTAATATTTGGCTTTAAAAAGAAATAATTTTATTATTCTTTATAATTATATCTAAAAAGTTAGAATTTAAAAAGTCTAAAATAGTTAATATTATACAATAATAGTTTAATAAATCTATTTTCTTGTAATAAAATAATTTGTAAATAGCTAAATCATATATGTAATATAATAATTTTGATATTAAGAATTCAAGAAACATATAAATTTACAAACAACTTATTAACAAATGTTCTGCTATAAAATAATAATTTATTTTTAGTATAATATCATATTGTATTTGTATTATTGCTTCCTATAAATGGATTAATAAACACATGACTAGCAGTTTGATTAAAGAAAATAATTAATTAAAAATATTATTTCTTAATGTATTATATTATCTAAAAATTTAGTTTTATAAATCTTAATACTTTTGTACTAAAAGTTAAAATGTATTTTTATGAAAAAAACAATTGTAAACAAATTTTTTTTTGATGGGAGAAATGTATTGTATAAATAAAAAAAGATTTTTTTTTTTAATTGAAATTTTTTTTATATACTGCATATAGAAAGCAATCGTCAGGTGATCGGCAATCGGATGACTTTAAGGTGGCATGTTGGAATTCTATTAATAGTAAGAAGGAACTGTGTTATTATTTCCGCGTTAGAAAGAAATTACGATATTTGTTTTTGTTTTCAAAAGCGGGAAGATCAATGCTTTGTCTATACAAATTTGAATTTAAATTATGTAATACTGGCTGCTATAAATGTTACCATCTTTGTTTCCTTATATAAGTAAAAAAACCCAGAAAATCTGTACTACGTCATATATGCTGCAACAACGGATTTAAAAAATGTGATTTTGGTGCGCAAGTACGCTTTTTCAACACACCAAAATGAGCAGAAGAAACTCGGATCAGAGTATTATATTCGATTACGAACCACACACAAGTTATTATCATCCAATACCTGTGCCATTATTTGAAGGTATTCGTAAGTATTCTGTCTTAACAGTGTAAATACAAAGTTTGCATTGTTATATATCATTTTTTAAATACTTTTTTTTCCTTAGGTTCCTCAGAGGAAGGCAAGTGCATATAGTAAATCTAGTTTACTTTGTTTACATAGCGGAACCAAGACGTGACGTGTCCCATTGTGAAATGTTTGTTTAGATTCCAACGATGTTACCAGCGACCATGACCTTGCGGTACAATTACAACTAGCGTTAGACGAAGAGAGTGGAGAGACATCTTTTCAAGGTATGATACGTTTACATAAGTTTTTAAGAGAATATAATGATACACGAAGTTATAACTTTCTTTGGTTTATAGACTTCACATTCCTACAATCTCGGAATAGAGGTCAGACCTATTCAACAAGTACAAGCGAAGATGTCACCAATGATGAAAACATTGCAAGGCGACTGAATGAAGAATTAAATGGCTCTAACA